ATTTGTATGTATTGATATATATCCTTAGGATGGTAGAACCGTGACTAGGGTATCAAGTGTTTCAAATCTTGATAGTGAGAACCCTATGATCACATATGGTGGTCATTTTAGAAATGTCCGTAGCCTTAGTATTATTCTGACCAATGACACAGATAATATGATAAGGCTATCATCGTGTTGAACGGCCATGTAGAAAGGCACTGACTGATCTCACTTGTCAAGGTTGTTTGCCGACAACCTGGTGCAACACATGGGTTCTTACTGTAGGCAAGTTCACTAGACTGACCCACTAGAGGATTCCATATAGATGGTAACCCCAGTGTCTATGGAACAAATCCTTTAATGAATGGTGGTGCATGTGATCCTTAGACTTGAGATCACCAGAGTGCCTTGTGCACCGATTGGTGTAGTTTGACACTAGCCCAATGTAGTTCTATTTAGAGATATCAATATAGTAATGATTGGTTGCATCGAGGAGTGTATCAAGACTATGGTGGATCGACAGAGGATTCATCACTCCCAGGTATGGAAGAAGTTATCTCATGGCGCAATTCAGTGTATGACAATGACACTAAAGTTGTGGCCACAGTGGGATTGAGTTGTTGCTCAATCCAATTTATTTATCCGATCATTGGTTCAGTAACTGAATACAAAGATATCGAGAGTAACTAAGGTTGACACTATTTCTGTACCTCAGTCTTGATGAGATAATAGATGATGAAAGGATTTGATTGCATGGTAACTATATCATTGATAGATAGCTATTTCGCTGAATCCAAATCTATCGAGGGGCCATAATGCCTTACTAGGGGCCAATCTTGGTCTGTGTGTAGTGAGACGATTAATTGGTGTTAATCGCGATACTACTCACTGCCGGTATGATGAGGAGCCTACAGGTCACACATTTAGAATATAATTTAAGAATTAGTTTGTACAAGGGGTATTTTCGTTTTTTAGGATGAAAGGGTATTTTGGTAATCTCACAGTGCAATTAAATTTATTGAGGTTGTTGCCTGTATTTAATTTAATATTAAAATTAAATTAGTGAGATTATATTTAAATATATGTACGCATATATTTAAATGAATTATTATTATTAATTAAATGTTAATATATTTTATAAATATATTAATTGATTTTAATTATAATAATAATTAATTAAAAATAAAATACCATAACAAGGGTGTTTGGATACAAGGGTGGATTAGGGTTGGAGCCCATGCCTATTTCTTATAGGAATATGGTTTTAGCACATGCATTATATAAGTGCATGTGTGTTAAAGAAAAATTGATTCATTCATGATTGAAAGAAAAGATGCAGCCCCTTTACTGTCACTCTCTCACGTTTCCCTTTGTGTGTGAATCAGAGTTTTCCTTTGATTCAAGTTGCTTCTTGATGCCATTAGGTGGATCTAGCAAATCCATTCTTGGTTCTTCGGAATGTCTTCGTGTGGATCAATGTTCGTTCGGTTCTATGTTGAATAAGTAGCAAAGTAGATTCAAAGACGTTTGAAGGAGCCTCCAAACGTGTGTAAGATCTTTGATCCTTGTCTAGATTGATATTATTTTGTGCAGAATTTTGATTTAACATGTAAACTATATAATCTATACTTGGATCTTGGCATAAAAGGAATCGATTCATCCTTTTAATTTTTGTTTTTCCGCTGCGTTGGATAGATCGATTCCTAACATATTCCACAAGGAATTGGGAGCTATTAATTAATTCAATATTGTGCAAAATCAACCAAGATAATGAAATGAAAAGAAATAATAAAATGGACCAGCAAACTAAATTAATCTAAAATCACAATAAAAATAGTAAAAACGCTAGAATGATCAAATATAACAAAACGGAACTCTGAATTACCAAATGTGACAAAAAACGATAACTAATCAAAGATTAACAAGTGGGAGACAGTCTAGTGTATCCAATTTCACCGTAATCGTCATACTCTATGTTATTAATCTAACCAATGTTATCTCAATCCAACTCTTAGGGTCGATACTCACCAAAATAAGTATTACCATTGACGTTCAAATTTAACCTAGTGTTTTCATCAATCAAACTAGCTAGTGGTATATAGTATAGTCTTACTACAAAAACCCATTAAACACAAGAGTACCCAAATGTTCACAAACCAATTTACACATGTCGAGGGCGTCGTATATGCATAAATCAATCACCTACAAGATCAATTTTTAGATTAGCTAGTGGTGTATATTTCAACCCCAAACTCATACAATCAATAAATAAAAAATTATAGTTGATCAGACAATAATAACGATCAGCCAATTCAACAAGCATAAATGAATGAAACTAAGATATATTGGATCAATCAAACAATCAATTAACTAAAAACATAAAGTAATAAGATTAGATTACACTAGATACACTAGAAGAGAAATTAGTTACTCATAATAACAAAGAAACAAACCTTGATCATACCCATGAACATGTGTATGAAAAATCCACAAAGTTAATAAAGATTCAATCCAATCTAGCCTAAATCTCCTCTCAAAATTTCCCAAAATGTTAACAAATGTAAAAGCTGCTGCAAATATGCATAAAGTTTCCTTTTTATAGTAATTACACCTGATGGCATTTTAGTAAATATTTGCAAACAAAAATATGGTTGAAAATGCGAATATATTGCAAATTTAACGTTTTGCGCTACACCGTCGTTGAATTGCACTGCGGCGCACTTCCAGGTGATATTTTCTTTGTCAAAACCCGTATCATGCTGCGACACAGTTGAATTGTGCCATGGCATAAATTGGATTTCGTCGACGTTGTGCTGCAATGCAGTGATTCTTCGCTGTTGCGCCGTGATCCTTAGCTGCAGCGCTATGATTCTTCGCTGAGGCACAATCTGTGTTGCGCCATCTTCACGCCATGACTCAAAAAAGTGTGGTGCTGCGTGAAGTCGGAATTTCACTCTTTTTTCTCTCACCTTGATTTATTTGCACTTGACGGGTCCAAGATGTCTAAACACCAACACAAGCACGAATAATCCATCTTTTTGCACCTGAATAACTGAAAATACAACAAAACCCGTAATTCTGGAAGATAATGAAACGTGCAAGGAATCTCATCAAAAATCATGCACTAAACCTAAAATTCCTTACAATTTAACCCCCAAATCACTAAATAAATCTACATTTTTACCACTCAACACAACCACCTACTAGCTTATTGCTTGTCCCTATCAGTGAAAGCGACAAAATTGAATCCTAACTAAACCACTTCCATAGGTTATCAGTTTTGAATATATCGTCTTTAAATTATAAACTTTTTTTAATGATTTTTTTTTTTTTTTTTTTTGTTACCACCATAATTCATGCACAAAATAAAAATAAAAATAAAAATTAACTTGATCTAAAAAATTGGATGAAAGAGAAACGATGTAACTTAACTTGACATATATAAAAGAAATAATTACTTGAAAAACCTTTTTCTAAGGGTTCAAATTGAAATTTGATCTCTTCTTAATTGGTTTAGAAGGTAAAACTTTTCATTCAGTTTCTTTCCACTTTGACCCTCTCTATCCGAGTGGCTCCACTCTAGCGCTAGGGTAAAAAAGTGTTTAATTTTTAATTTTAATTTTAATTTTTATAAAGTTAAAAATAACTCTTATTTACATTTACTATCTCTTTTTAAAAACATAATATTTTATTTTTATATAAATATAACAATTTAATTTATTTTTTAGTTTTAAAAAAATTTAATATTTAATTTGGAGAATATTAAAAAAAAAAAAAAATCTAATACTTAAGTGGAGCAGTTGTAACGCTAGAATCTATTCTAGTGCTGTAGTCGCTGGAGTAAAGACATAAAGTTGTAAAAGGAAAGTTGTGGATGGGTTAAAAAGGAAAAAAAATTGATAAAATATTTTTTCAACTAAATTAATTAAAAAAAATCAGATTATAAGTTGTCAAAAAAAAAAAAAAAAAAGTCTTTTTTAAGTAGTTTTTGTAATATTAAAGGTTAACCCAACAAAAAAATTTAACTCGAAACCTAATCACAAAGATCTGAACTAAAAAGTCAAACCCAAAGCTCTAACTGCTAGAGCCGATGCCGCCTTGGCCGAGATTGGCTAGGTTGTCGCAGCCTTGGCTTCGATTGGACAAGGCTACTCTAGGCCCATGCTGCCAGCAAAGAGTGGCGACCTGACTAGGGGTTAGAAAATGTTATCCGGTGTAGGTGGAATCTTTCTATCCATCATCCATGACGCATGCCATCTGTCCCTTTCCTATAAGAAAATTTGGACTAGTCAAGAATTGCTAGCCCGATATATATATATATATATGCCTACTAGTGATTTTCATCCAGCAAAAACAGTTAAATAATTGAAAATACTTATGTTCGTAAGAAAGTATTTTGTAGAATATCATGTTTTTAGTGTTTCTTTTTAGAGAACAATTTTAAATATTTTACCAAATGAATTGTCAATTAATATTATTAGCAAAGTATGATCTCAGTAAATTAGATCTCTAACTAGTAACCACTAAGATCACTCTCCACAATCCCAAAGTAGAATAATTATTATAGATTCTTAAAAATTGAATTTTAGCCCAAAGCATCTTTATAATTTTGAAAATATTCTGTGCATTCAATCCAAAATTAATATATTAATGCTTAATCTCATAGTAAGTTCAATTAAAAATTTAAATTTAATTAAAATTTGACAAGAAATATGATTTATAAAGAGTAACATCCTAGTTACATTAGTAAGTCATTTTTTGTTTAGTATTTCATATTATTTATATGCATAATAATTGATTATATGTACTTATTTTAAGACTTATGAGAAGTTCAGATTTTAGATAATTAGTGAGATACTGAGATGTGAATTGTGACAAACAATATATTCTTTATAAATGATGGGTAATTAACAAGGCAATTACGTGGAAGTCCCAATGGTCAAAACCGGCAACTCACGTTTTCTCTAAAGTTTAAAATTAAAGTTTGAATTGAGTTTGAGTGGTGTGTGTGTGTCCTCACTGGCTTCACACCAACCAATTACAGGTAAAACTTGAAGCTATATATAGCAGAAAAAGGATGGATTGAATAAGTATATTTCAATCTCAAAACTTAACTTGCTCACAAGAAAGCAAAATGGCAGAATTATTCATCAAGCAGGCAAAGCAATATGCGCAAACTAGGCCGTCTTACCCACCAGATTTGTTTCAATTCATTGCCTCCCATGCGCCCCACCACAACCTTGCCTGGGATGTTGGTACCGGAAGCGGCCAGGCTGCTAGATCTGTAAGTTCATCCTTTCCTTTTGCATTACTTTATTCATTAAACTATTTCACGAGACAATGGGTTATCTCATTCCAAGTTTCCATTTGTGTACGATTCCTTAAAATTGGCCAAGGATCTTGCAGATTATGTAATTCTTTCACAATTGAAATTTGATTTAATTTCATTGTTCACACATTAATCTCAGCTGGCTGGAATCTATAAGAACGTGATAGCTACAGACACAAGCCCAAAACAACTAGAATATGCATCAAAGCTTCCCAACATTCGATATCAATGCACTTCTCCAATCATGTCCTTCTCTGAGCTTGAACAAAATGTGGCAAAGCAATCAAGTGTGGATTTAGTGACCATTGCTCAAGCCATACACTGGTTTGACCTCCCAAAATTTTACCAACAGGTAAAATGGGTTCTTAAGAAACCTCATGGAGTAATTGCTGCGTGGTGCTACACTGTACCACAAGTTAATGACTCTGTAGATGCAGTTTTCCAACCATTTTACACCGTTGATTGCGAGCCTTACTGGGAACCGCAACGTAAAATGGTTGATGAAAAATATATAAGCATTGATTTCCCATTTGAGGCAGTGGATGGGAAAGAAAATACGGGTCCATTTGAGTTTGTAATAGAGAAGTTGATGGATTTAGATACTTATTTTACTTACCTAAGGTCATGGTCAGCATATCAGACTGCTAAGGACAAGGGCGTGGAGCTTCTCACAGACAATGTTGTTGAGAATTTTAAGCGTGCTTGGAATGAAAATGGACATAGCCAAAAGGTTGTTCGATATCCAGTTTATCTTAGGATTGGGAAAGTCGGAAATAATAATTGAAGATGAAAAAGTGAAATCAATTGTGTTCTGTTGATTTTAGATTGAAAATTAATTTTTGTCAGTTGCTTTTATGTTGTTTTATGTTTCTGTTAAGTTTCAATCTCTTTTCGTAATTCATTTTTCAACTAATTATTCAATTTTTACTGGGTAACAAAAGTGTTAAGAAAGTTTAATTACAGGTGATTTAGCTTAGCAAGGAGTTTAAGCTAAATACAACTGTCATTCACTCAGCAACTTCTTCAAGATTCGTTTTTATATTCTCTTAGTTGATTTTACGGAGTTTGTTTTAACCAATATTAGTTGTATTTCTTTCGTTCTTTTCATTGCTTTTGAGACTTTTCATCTGACAAATTTTCATTGGTTGAGTCTTTTATATTGTACTAGGCAATTCTATAAAAGAAATATAATACTCAATCTTCATTTGAGCTGAGAAAATATTCCTCTTAAGTTTTCTTCCAAACTTTTACTTTGTATCAAAGCTTCCAAGCCCACGCCAATGTCAACGGAAGCAAACAATGAGGCTGATTCAAATACCTCAACTTTGGCCACTGGAGCATATTTATCTATCGTCACATCAATTATGGCACAACCCATAAACACCAACAACGGTAGAGCTCTTCTCAGCAGTTCAATAGGTCAAAGCTTTGCAATTAAGCTTCAGAAAAACAAATACATGCTTTGGAAGACGATGGTGACCAAAGCAATTTGAGGTCATCGTCTTGATGGGTTCATTTTTGGAAACCGACCTTGCCCACTAGATCTCATCCCGGCTAAAGCAACAACTCTAGGAGTTATTGCCATGTAAGTAACATTCTTTCGTTGTCATATCTTGATCGAGTATGGATTCACAGATCGTCAAAATCCTAAACTCGATATCATTCTGAATCATCAATCAATATGTCCGGAACTCGTCATCACGAAATTACCTTCGTATAATTAATGTTATACTATGATAAGTGATTTTGGTTTATGAATTTTATCAACATTCATCCAGGAACTCAGATCCAGAAGGAGTCAATGGGTACTCTCGATCCTATAATTTTGGGTCAACGAATCCCGTCTTGACCATCGTTCATTTCCACGTATGAACAACGCATGAGCAAGTAGGCTTTAACATACAATGCATGGCTAGTCTCGTACTTATACACCATATGAACCATGTGCATCTGTACCTGGTCCGACCACGATGTCCCTGGGTAAAGGACTACATCGTACACTAATATGACCAAACGATAAATCATTGACTATATGCAAATCCATGTGATTCATCGTTCGTCGGTCACATTCGAAAAACAGTTCACCAACCGTTAATCCATACTAATACCCTAGTGATATGACTATCGTTATCATCCGTACTTATATCAACTCATGATATCTTTTTTTTTTTTTTTTTTTTGAATCATTCAATATGCCTTTTGTCGTGAGAAAGGACATTGGAAGAAAGATTGTCCGAAGTTGCAGAAGAAAGAGGGCAAAGCTGCTTTTGATGCATACGTTGTTGAGCATGAAGAAGATGAGTCTGATTTCTCTCTAGTTAGCCTACTATCCACCTCTAGATCAAATGAGTGGATTATGGATTTTGGTTGTATCTATCATATGTGTCCTCACCAGGAGCGGTTCTTTAATTTTGAAAAACGTGATGCAGTTGTTTATATGGGCAATGATGATGCTTGTAAAACAACTGGGATAGGTTCAATTCGGTTGAAGAATCATGATGGCTCAACTAGAACGCTAATAGATATTCGGTATGTACCGAAGTTGAAAAAGAATCTCATCTCTTTGGGAGCCTTGGAATCTAAAGATTTCACGGTGAATATGCGAGGTGGAATTCTAAAGGTTTCTTCAGGCGCTCTTGTGGTAATGAAAGGCACAAGGAGAAACAACTTGTATTACTATAATGGTAGTACAGTTATTGGAACGGCAGCTGCAGTCGCATATAAGGATGCAGATTCAGAAATGCTTAGGCTGTGGCATATACGTTTGGGGCATGCAGGTGAAAAAAGCCTTACTTAGTTTGGTGAATCAAGGCTTATTGAAAGGTGCAAAGACCTGTAAGCTGGATTTCTGTGAGCATTGTGTTTTGGAAAAACAAACAAGATTGAAATTTGGCACCGCAATCCATAATACTAAGGGTATCTTGGATTATGTTCATTCTGATGTGTGGGGACCTATCAAAGCTGTATCTTTAGGAGGTATGCACTATTTTGTCACTTTTGTAGATGATTTTTCCAGAAGATTTTGGGTGTATGTGATGAAAACTAAAGATGATGTACTTGGTGTTTTCCTTAAATGGAAAAAGATGATTGCGACTTAGACTGGCAGAAAGATCAAGTAGCTACGTATAGATAACGGTGGGGAGTATCGTAGTGATCCATTTCTGAAAGTTCGCCAAGATGAAGGTATAGTACGTCACTTTGCAGTAAGGAATACACCATAGCAGAATGGGGTGGCAGAATACATGAATCGAAATATACTAGAGAAAGTTCGATGTATGTTGTCCAATTCTGGGCTGGGCAAAGAGTTTTGGGCTGAGACAATTATATATGCATGTCATCTCATTAATTGTCACAGTCAGCTGCAATTGAAGGCAAGACACTGGTTGAGGTATGGTTTGGAAAACTTGTTTCTTTTTATGACTCTTTACATGTTTTTGGTTCCATTGCTTATTATCATGTGAAAGAGTCTAAGTTAGATCCAAGAGCAAAGAAAGCAGTATTCATGGGGATTACCTTAGGTGTGAAAGGATACCGTCTTTGGTGTCCAAGTTTGAAGAAAATACTATTTAGTAGGGATGTGACATTTGATGAGTCTTCTATGTTAGAGAAGAAAACAAGAAGCCAGATGAAGGTTAACAGTACTCTGTAGCAGGTCGAACATACTTGACAGCAGGTGGAGTTTCAAACAACAATTGAACCAAATAGTGTCCACGAGATATAAAGTGATTCTGAGGTGACTAATGTGGATACTATAGATGAAGAGGAGATTCTATCCTAAGAATCTCCACAGCAACAAGAATCAATTGCATTCAATAAGCGAAGACGAGAAATTCGCAAGCTTGCTTGTTTTGCTGATATGGTGGCTTATGCACTTCCAATCGTAGGTGATGATATTCCTACTACTTATAAAGAAGTAGTTAGGAGTTCAAATTGTGAATCATGGAAACCGACCACGAATGATGAGATGCGATCCCTACATAAGAAGGCGATTGGGTGCAAATGGGTGTATGCAAAGAAGAAGGGATTTCCTAATAAAAAAGATGTTCAACACAAGGTTAGGTTGGTAGTAAAGGGATACACTCAAATGGAAGGTTTTGATTACAGTGAAGTGTTTTCTCCAATAGTAAAGTATTCTTCCATTATGATTTTGTTAACCTTGGTGACACAATATGCGATCCCTACATAAGAATGCTATTTGGTGCACATGGGTGTATGTAAAGAAAAAAGGATTTCCTAATAAAGAAGATGTTCAACACAAGGTTAGGTTGGTAGTAAAGGGATACGCTCAAATGGAAGGTTTTGATTACAGTGAAGTGTTTTCTCCAATAGTGAAGTATTCTTCCATTATGATTTTGCTAACCTTGGTGACACAGTTTGATTTTGAACTAGTTCAGTTGGATGTGAAAATCGCAGTTTCACATGGTAGTTTGGAAGAGGAAATCTACAAGACTCAGCCAAACGATTACAGGGTTGCTGGAAAGGAAATTTGGGTTTGCAGATCGAAGAAATCGCTATATGGATTGAAGCAGTCACCAAGACAGTGGTATAAGCGATTTGATCAATGTATGATGGGCCATGGGTAAACAAAGCCTGATATTTCACAAGCAGTTAGTATGGTGAGCAGGCATATGCATGATCCTGATAAAGGATATTGGCAAGTCGTGAAATGGTTTCTATGGTATATTTGAGGTATTGTAGATATTAGTTTGATTTTGAGTGGGATAATGATCTTAGTCAATTTGTTGTTGGTTATTTATGATTCTGATTACTTCGGATTTGGATAAGCATCATTCAACTACTAGTTACTTATTTATAGTTGCTAAAGGACCAGTGAGTAGGAAGTCTACTCTACAGTCTATAGTTACTCTGTAAACCGTAGAAGTAGAGTACATGACAATTTTAGAGGCTGCAAAAGAGGGAATTTGGCTTCAAGGGTTGCTTGATAACTTGGGAATTGTTTTGAAACACATTAGTGTGTATTGTGATAGCTAGAGTGCTATTCATTTGGCCAAGAACCAAGATTATCATGCACGTTTGAAACACATTGACGGTCAGATTCACTTTGTGGAAGATTATATTGAAAACGGGAGATGGTTCTTCAGAAGATTGGAACAGAAGATAAACAAATATGTTGACTAAAGTAGTGACAAGGGTCAAGTTCACTCATTGTTTGAGCTTGATCAACATCCTGGAAGTTGATTACACCATTTGGCGCATTTGAAGGTGTTGCAAAATTTGTCAGAAGAATATAGGAAACTATTTGAAAGATAATCTCATCAAGGTGGAGTTGAATTGTGTTTTTTGCCAAGGTGGAGATTGTTGTAAAATTGGCTCAAACACTTAAAATAGTGGTTTGTGCTTATATCCCACATTGCTTAGCTAACAAAAGGCTAAGCCTTTTGTTAGCTATATATAGGTATGTTAGACTTTGGTTTGAGTATCCAAATCCATTTTTGGATCCCCACATTTTTTGGAGTTTGTATTTGAGAGTTTCCCTTTGTTTTGGGTAAATTGTTTATGTGCCCATATAGTTTTGGGTACTTATTGTATTGTCCAAATGTTTGTAATGTTCTTCTTTGGAGATAGTGGAGTTTCTTTTGCAGTGCCCGAGGACGTAGGTTACAATACTAAATCTCATTAATTCTTAGTATTCTTTATTTTTTTCATTTATTTTGACCATTTATTTCTGTTTTACTAGTTGTTATTATTGTATTCAATAGCTAGCGTTAGAGTTTGTGTTTCCGTTGCACAACAATATTGTACTAGGCAATTCTATAAAAGAAATATAATACTCAATCTTCATTTGAACTAAGAAAATATTCCTCTTAAGTTTTCTTCCAAACTTTTA